AATCAATACACAATCATATGCAACAATATGATGCATGAAGATGGCATGAAGATGTGATGTTATTAGAGCTAATGCAACTAGCATTCATTTGCATGAAGTCCATTTGAACCAAAGATTCAAATGCATCTCCAAAATAAGCTCTTTATATAAGCCATTTTAGTGTTTCACTTATACAGCAGGTATAACTTGGTTTTTCATGCATGAAACTGGTACAGATGGATAGATTGCATTTTTTGATAATTTTTCATATATAAATTATTTCAATCTGATCTACGGTTGAATTTATATGAATTTTTGAAGTTTTGAACATTTTCTGGAATTTCTTATTTTAAAATAATTCCAGAAAAAGAATAACTGCGTCAGCATGACGTCATCACTACGTCAGCGAGTCAACGTGGCTGTCCAGGTCAAAACTGACGTGTGGGGGCCACACGTCAGTGCCATAGTTAATTAACAGAGTTAATTAAATTTTAAACTAATCCTAAACTAAAATTAGCAGAGTTGGGCCCCGCATGTCATTGACCCTGGGTGGTCAAACACCAGGTCAACTGGGGGGGTTAGACCCGGTCAACCCCACCGGCGTTTAGCCACCGGCGAGGCCGAACGCGGCGGAGGGCTCGGCATCACCGTTCCGGCGACCAAAAGGACAGCGGAGACCACCGGGGCGTAGCCCGCGCTCGTTCGCATCGATTGGAGCAAGTGGGAGAGGCGGGGGCGGCCGGAGCTCGCCGGAGCGAAGCTCGGGGCGGTGGCCGGAGTACGGCTTCGAGCGGAACCTGGCTGCGGGACACGGGGAGGCCACCCGAGGGGCTCTGCGGCACCCTCGTGGCACCAGGAGCATGATGGGGGTGCTCGATTTGGGCGGAGGCGGGCCAAAACGACGACGGCGACATGGACGGAGGCGAGGAGCTATGGCCGCGGCGGGGAAACGGTGCTAGAGCGCGCGTTGGCAAGGGGGAGAAGGGGGGTTCGGTGGAAGAGCTCACGGCGATTCGTCGGGCGTGCTCAGCGGCTCAGGGGAGGTGTTGGAGCGGTCGCACGGTCGCCGGCGATCTCGGACGCCCGAGGTTGAAGACGAGGTTGGTGAAGCCGTTGTGGGGCTTCCGGCGATGCGTGGCTCGGTGAAGAGCTTCAGCGCGAGCAGACGGAGCTCATGGGCATGGAGAGGAGGCGAGTCAGTGGTTCTGGGCGTGGCAATGGCGCACGGCGGCGACGGCAGCGTTTCGGTCGCGGGAAGAGAGAGCGATCTAGGGGAGGAGGGAGAGCGAAAAGGGGTACGGGGCGGCGCGTGGCGTCGTCGAGGGAGGCCAGAGCATCGAGGGGGAGGGCACGCAGGCAGGCTGGTGGCATGGTGCGCATGCGCGCGGGCGGCGAGCGCGTGCCCCTGTCCTCCTGGCGCGAGGAAGGGGACGACTGGCAGTGCCAGTCGGCTGGGCCGGCCTGTTGGCCACTGGGCCAGGCCAGGCTGCACAGTGACAGGCTGCACAGGGGGGTAAGTGCAGGTAAGCGGTTTTCCACTTTTGTTTTCTTTTCTATTTTCTGACATTTGTTTCTGGTTTAATAAAATACCAAATCATTTTATTTAATTCGGTCAAATTTTGCAGGGACCTAAGGAATTAATCCAAAGCTCCTCACCAAAATTCAGAATTATTGGACAATATTATATATATATATATATATATATATATAAATATTTATCCAACGCAAATAATTACTGGATTAATTCCAAATGCCCAAAATAAATACTTATGAGCTATTTAAAATATTGGTTTGATTTTTATCTCTGTCCGATATTTTCAGAGATCAACATGAGCATTTTCTTGGACCCTTTTGGAGCAATTTTTACTTGGGTCATTTTCAGAAATGATTCTGAGGGTTTCACAAATCCCCATTTCAAATTTAAATGGAATTTAAACATGATGCACAAATGACTAGCTAGTCTAGGTCATACCAGAACTAGGGATGTGACACTGTATCTGTGTTCTTTACTCTTTCTTCTTTCAAACTACTAGTTACCACCGGGTGGAAGCAGAAAAATAACACCACCTTGTTATCGACATTTCCCTTTTTCCCTTTAAACAAATGTATGTCCCAAGCTTGTGATAAAAATAAGAGAAAAGTTCACATTAGAACCCTCAACTAACCACACGGTTAAATATTCAACCCTCAACTCTTAAACCGGTCATCCCACGCCTCAAACTAACCATCCGGTTCAGGAATCAACCCTCCACCCGGTTTTGACTCAGGTAAGCAGTTTTGACCACGTTGACTACTGAGTTGGCACCGCCACATTAGATTTTGATCTCCTCCTTACACGTGGGACCCACCCAAGAAAAAACAAAAATAAAAAACTACATCTCTCTTTCGATGCCTTGACTCCTTCGTTCTTGTGTGACCCGACTACCGGCTTGCAGTGGACGAATAGGGACTCGTTGCCGCCAGCAGCACGTCAGCCGAGCTGCACGCTCCAGCTCCGGTCGATTCCCCCACCCACAACCACGAATTCCCGTAGCCCTCTAACATCGACTGTCGTCGTCGCGTACAAACTCTCGCTCCGGCCGCTCCTCACTCCACGCTCTTCTTCCCCTTCTATTCCGCGCATGCATCTAGCCATGGCGGTGTGCTCTGGTCGGGCCTCGTCGGCCTGCACAATGTGGAATGCTTGCCATCGAGGGAGGCTGGGAGAGCCAGGGCAGAGCAGCCCCCCAAGCTCCCCAAAGGAGCCCAGATCTCGCATTGGAGGCGCGATGTCAGAGGAGATGGCTTCCCGCGTCATCGTGGACGGCCGTCAAGTGTGCATGCAGCCACATTGTCGTGCGCGTGCAGTCCGCGCCGCTGCATCGTGTCAGGGCCCTGCATGGTGTAGTCCGATTCACTGCCTCTGCCGTTCATTGCGGCGCTCATGGACCTCCCCGGCCTCCTCGGCACACGGTAGGTGGGTGGCCATAGATCCGAGCCATCAAAGCCAGCGAGGAGGTACATCCTCTTGAAGGATTCCGGCGGGGTGGATCAATGCTGCGAGGAGAGCATGAGTGGGATGGCATGCAGCAAGGAGTGTGCATTTTACCCACATGTAGGGGGTGTCAAATGGTGACATGGAAGTGCCTAGTCAGCAGTTAACATGGTCAAAACCACTCAATGAGTCAAAACCGGGCGAAGGGTTTATTTTTGAACTGGATGATTAGTTTGGGGTGTGGAATAACCAGTTTTGAAGTTGAGGGTTGAATATTAAACCGAATTAATACTACCCTTGCCAATGACTAGAATTAAAACTTGAGACTTGTGAGCTAATCCAGTAGCTCGTGGATCGACCGAACCCGTTCACAAACGAGTTGAGCGGAGTCTGAATCGAAACTTGTAATATACCGAGTTTAACGAGCCGAGCTAATGAGTTACTCGCTTAACTCATTGGGCTAGTTAATCAGAAGGGGCAAAAAATAAGTAGTATATTGTTGTTGAGTGTTGTCTTCTATGTTGTGAACCATGTGCCTGTTTGTTGTAAGTTTTTTATATTTGTTTAGTAAAATATGTTGTCATAAATATATTTTTGTAGTTTGTTGTGTATATAATATATATATATTTTTGTTAAAATTTGTCATGAGATAAACAAGCTAACTCATGAAGTGCACAGAGTTGAGCCATGTTTGAATATGAACCCGCTATCCTAATTAATGAGGCGAGCCAAATCAACTCGTTATCCTAACAAGCTCCAAAGAGTCGAGCTAAATCGGCTCGTCTCGACTTGAATTCCGGCCCTACATGCCAAGTCTTCTTATGAAGTTGACCAAAAAATGTATTAATCTTTTAGCCTCCATGACTGTTTGTTAACCATGGGAAGATGTAATGTACCAAAGCAAAAGCTAGACACATAGATCTTACTGACAAATGCCGGTTTGGCGAAAGTTTAACGAAACTCGTCTTAACATTTGAGAGATAGACGTCGTTCAGGTTTGCCAAGGAGTTGTCGTAGAGTATTGAACAACAATTGAAAAACCACTGACAGCATCGTGTCCACCGGCGGTTGGAGACCAGCTATCCGACAGAGGACATAACCCGTTAGATACAATCACGACCAGTTCACCTGGGCATTATGCCAGCGATGGTCAGGAAGTTGGCCCGTGGATGAGACTACGCTCCACCAGCAGTTGTTCACTGCATTACTTCTCTTTGTTTTTTCCTTTTAATTTTTTATGTTGTGTTTCTTTTTTTATTGTTTTGTTAACTAGATGAACACTTCATAAATTTGCATATATGCTGTAAAGATTTCGTGATTCTTTCTTTAAATGTGAAAAATCACATTTTTAATAAATATCCAAATAATTGTAAAAAAACATGAACATTTTAAATCCTCTAACACTTAATAAATGTTACTAATTTACAAACAATGATAAAAAAATAACTTTTAAAAATATCATGAACGTTTTTTTTAAATGGCCATAGCATAAGTCAGGGGTGGACCGAAAGAGAACGAAGGAGCAAGGCCCCCTCGAACTCCACAAACACTTTAAATTTGATTATTTTTGGACTCCGGAAAGAAGTGTCCACAGTAAACCTCTAAAGAAAAAAACGAAATGTAAGCATTGTGTCTAAAAGAAAAAAACGAAATGTAATCACTAAGCTTTCCCAATAAAAATTAAAAAAATTAGCACTAAACACACATTTCTTTTTATGAAAGGAAGTCAACTGTATGAGTTTAAGAGACGAAAAAAAGCAGCAGTACGTCCAACTAGAGTGGATTATGAATCAGACTAGGATTAGAGCTGGAATGGGCAGGGCAGGTGCCTCCTAGTCCTAGTTCACCAAGCACATTTGCCAAGCAAGAAGATATAAAGATTTTTCAGGTAATAGTAGTGAAACATGTTAACCAAAAACATGCAAAGATACCCTAAACAGTTCAACAGTGTCCACGTACAATTCACTCTAGACTGTTGACCGGCTCTTGGCCCATTCCTCAAACACAACTTTTCGACATACTTCATTCAAGCGCTGCAATAAGCCTACTAGATGGAGAGCAGAGTCGACCAAGTCACCTTCACTGAGATCAACCCGAATTCAGTCTTCATCTCTCGAGTATCAAGCCCATGCATGCCCGCCTTGAAGGAGTAGTAGTGCTCCGCTGAATCGGATGGCTCCGAGGCAACCTCGAACTTCAAATCCACAGTGGAACCATCCACTACAGCAACCACAGACCTCGTTAAATGACGCGACTCGCCAATTGTACCATTGAAGAGCCGAATTTCTTCGTCATAACCACCGATAAAACAATGGAAGCACAGATCAAAACTGCTCCGCACTTCTGACACGACAACTTCTACATTCGCCATGACTGCACGATCAATACGTGATACGGTTAAATCAACTGTGCCACAGTCACCATCGATGCGATATTTGAGTGCACAATCCCATGGGCTCCACAGGTCGTCTAGGTCTGATACACCATCGATCAGCTGGCAGTCATGCCTTTCTTCCTTGCCTACCTTGATCCTCATGTCAAATTCCACTAGAGCAGTGGAAAGCATATTTATCCCTCGCTTAGGGCCAGCCATGGCGACGAGAGAACCCTATAAAATTGTTACTGCTTAGTAGCTCTTCATATGGAAGTAAGAAACACCTAAAGCTTTATACTACCTCTGTTTCTAAATGTAAGGCGTCTTAGCAATTCAAATTGAACTATCAAGGCACATCTTACATTTAGGAACAGAGGGTGTACTTCTCTAAGCTGTTTTACTTGGAACAACATTAATTTTGTGGTAGTTTACAATTGCTGACCAACATCTTTGCCACATATCAAACTGGTTGCTTACATACTGCACAACAATGTTCGAATCCCAATTTTTACATAAGCATGTAGAAATGAGAAGAGAAAACAAAATGACCTATAGTGATGCAATGATTCATGCTGGTGTGTTAAGTAGCAACCAAGAGCGCAAACTATTCTATTTGATTTTGTTTGGAATACATAATATACTCACTCAGTTCCATAATTTATAAGTTTCTCATAGTAAATCACATTTCCACAATAAAAACTTGGTGCAATGGTGGCCTATACAGTCCAAACTACCATTCTGCTACGTGTGTACAGATAACTCACAAGACTTGAGTGCTTGTTGTTCCATGCAAACACTAGGTTTGGCCTTACAATGTGAAATGTGAAATGAATAGCTTTGACATAAATCAGGTACTTGACCCCCCCCCCCCTTATTCCATACCGTATAAATCATTCCCTCGGATGGTTTCGCCCACACTGCAACATCCACCTAATGTGAGAACTCCCCCGGTGGGTACTTTAAACCATATGGAATGCTTCAAGGGGCCAAATACCTTGTTTTATACTTGAGGGGGTTAAGTAGACTTATTGCTTGAAATAATCACATGTAAGTATGGATTTGCACCTGCTTCACGATGATGGGATCATCCCTGCTTATATTGACAATATAATTAAGCAATGTATCCATATAATCTCGCACTGCTATGTATCCATACAACTCTACTGGGCCAGGATCCACAGTAAGTTTAATCAACTTTAATGATAAAATTTGTAACACGCGATTAGGTATATGCCGAATGCATTTTCCGTTGCGGATGTCACAATCTGTGGGTTCTGGTAGCCGAGCTTCACAAAAAAAAGTGAAAGAAATAAGTTAAATTGTAATCGAAAGGAATACATGAAACAATAGTCGTCATACAAAAAGTAAGCGTGTCACTAGAGGATTCCATGGTCCTATTGGAAGTTTACCTTTTCTTTCAAGTGGATTATCGATGTTCTTTTTAGTAGGAATTTTAATCCCTCAAAGGTTTTTGTTTTAGAAACCCAAAGAAAAAGCGGCTAGCATCTCATTACATCAATAAATAAAGGTCCATTTTACTCTCCCAGATTTTATTTCATAACCCCCTAAACTATTTATTGGTTAAGTATACCCCAATAATTACTAAAACAAGTCATTTTAACACTTGTTGAAAAATATTCTTTTGTTTCACCTTCTAGAAGCCCCCTTGCAAGTAGATTTTTTTTATTCTGATGGTAGATAACATCATATACCCTATATAATAATAACAATAAATCATAATTTTCCATCTTGCATAGTTGGGAGCAACTAAACCTATTTCACCACTCATGGTACAAAATATGTGCTAAAAATGAATGTTTCTGAATATATTTCCAAAACACAGGACATGGTGACAACAAAAAGGATAAAAATCATTATGCACTGAACTGAACTCATTCTACTGGAAAGGAACCTTGCTCATGCATAGAAAATTAGCCACAAGATTTCAACATAGAACGCATCAGTTGACCTTATCGCTTGAAAAAGGTGCTCCTAACAAAATGAAATAGGTAAAGATATATTGATCACTTACTCTCGTTACGGTTTGTAACATTATATTCCCTTTTCCACGAATGATTGGCCCTGTATATCGAACCATCACGGTGTGTGCTTTTTGGAAACATTCCAATGCGGAATACATCATCTTCTTGGCCATCGCTTGCTACCGATACCCTCTTTGTATCCTTGTTGGTTGAAGTCCTTCCGTTTTCCTCACGACCAGAGATGTCCACAGTTTTCGCAAATGCGTCATGTTTGCCGGCTATAGGATCTGTAACCTCCAAGGTTGTGCCACTCGTCTCCGCGTCTTTCATGGCTTGGCTGATGGCAGAGTGATCCTTGGTAGAAGAGATGAGCGATCGCGTGTCTGGTTTAGCAGACTCGTCAGCTTTGAATCCGCTGGTGCTGGCCATGCCCCGAGATCCATGAGGAAATAATCTATCGCTTAAGAGCATAAGAAGGCAGTCTGGTCAGGATCCAGATCCAAAACTGTGGCAACTAACTATAAGGGCGCGCATAGGATAAAGAAAATTAAACATACCGGGAAACACGATGGGCGGCTAGACTGGGAGCCGCCATGAGTGGCAAAGCTCGTCATGGAAGCGCTGGTGGCGGCCAGGAATGGCGAGGCGGAGCAGAGGCCATGAACGAGAGGAGAGGTCGCGAGGTGGAGGAGAGGCGGCGCATTGGGTCGGGAGAGGAAGAATCGGATGGAGGGTTTGCATCCAGGCGGCGCGCGGCGGCGGACAGGCGGATCCGGCCCTTTCCATACTTCCATCCGCTCCCACTCCATTCTACGGCTCTTTTTTCTTTTTCTTTTTTCTAATCTAATCATCTCTTCCCTGATTTTAAAGGGATGGGGCTGGACCTTATTTCGTTCCAATCAAATCATGCCACGTATGCGGGAGCACGGATGGGTGCTCGCACGCGAGCAATTTGATAAAATAGCACGTCTTTCCTCGCACCTTGATAAAATAGCACACTTTTCTTTTTGTTTGACTAAATGACACACTTTTCCTTCATGGCTGGATAAAATAGCACAAACTGATTTTTTTTCTCAATTTTCTGGTATGGGCCTACACATCATAATATTTTGGACGATTTTGCCCCTTGGTCTTTTCTGCCCGGTCAACAGTTTCGATCGAACCTAGCGATTAGTTCCGATCGAAACAGAGGAACGCGAGGCAAGCAGGGCCGCCGCCTCGCCGGCTTCCTCACACAGGCGCCGCAAATTCCATCGTCGTTGACTCGCCGTGCCTCTGCCCCGGCGTGCTGCCCTCATCACCCGTCGCTCGACCCGTTCCGCCGTCGCCGCTCGACCCGTTCCGCCGCCACCTCTCATCTTGCCGTGAGTTACATGTGTTCTCCCATCTTCTCTGTTGGTCTCTCTTTCTCTCCCTACCAGTACAGGTTTCCTCCTCTATATCTCTCTCTTCATTTAATCTGATCTCACATGTGGAATTAGGAAGCAAGTCATCCAGGAACCTTATATCATGGAGATTTTGGTGGAGGAGAGCTAGTTTGTTGGCTTCACGACAACAAAAGGTTTAGCTCGCTGTGATGGAGCCGGAGGGCGCAGTTCCAGCAGGGTCAGTCACAAACTCTATGAATCGTTAACGTCAGTTTTTTTATGAATAGTTAGAACTAACCATTGTTTGTGTTTCGAAAATCCGTGTAATTTTGTAGGGAAGAAGGTGCGGAGTCGCGCGTTGTCATTTATGAATTAACTGTTAGACTTCTCGGATTTGTCGCAAAGCTTGACGATGGCACCGAGCGTCAAGTTGTCGAGCATGATGTTGAGTTTGAGGTTAACATGCAACATTTTACGGTTGAAAAAATGGTCGAACTCATTCGGTCCAAAATTGTTTGGGGAAGTAGGCAAGAGGTACATATTTTGTGCCAAGACAAGCACTTTGAATCAGTTGAGAGGATCGATAATTATTGGAAGCTGCTGACAACTTTTCTTGAGAGATGGAAAGAAAAAAATGCTAGTGCTAGCTCAAGTTGTGGACATTGCAAATGGGGTTACAGCATCATATTGCTCTGAAAATATCCTGAAAATATCCCATCTAGGGAGATTGTGGACAATATTATCTGCTCAAGTTCTGACGTTTACCAGTCGAATGCAAGTAGTGCAACATGTCTCGACAATTCTACAACTGGTAATTTTCTTATTAGCAGTTCGAGATATATGCAATCTGATGGTGAAGTCATTGATTGGTCCACTATTGCGATAACTCCTAGTGGTGATGATGTAATATATCCTATATCCCATGAAGACATGTGTGAGGTACTCGGAATTGAGGATGAGACCGAGGATGCTCAACCCGTAAATGAGCCAGTTCCGGTTGTCACCGGCCATGTTAGTGATGAGTTAATGCCTGAAGGAGCTGAAGGAAATATGCCCTAGAGGCAATAATAAAGTTATTATTTATTTCCTTATATCATGATAAATTTTTATTATTCATGCTAGAATTGTATTAACCGGAAACATAATACATGTGTGAATACATAGACAAACAGAGTGTCACTAGTATGCCTCTACTTGACTAGCTCGTTAATCAAAGATGGTTATGTTTCCTAACCATGGACAAAGAGTTGTTATTTGATTAACGGGATCACATCATTAGTTGAATGATCTGATTGACATGACCCATTCCATTAGCTTAGCACCCGATCGTTTAGTATGTTGCTATTGCTTTCTTCATGACTTATACATGTTCCTATGACTATGAGATTATGCAACTCCCGTTTGCCGGAGGAACACTTTGTGTGCTACCAAACGTCACAACGTAAATGGGTGATTATAAAGGAGCTCTACAGGTGTCTCCAATGGTAGATGTTGGGTTGGCGTATTTCGAGATTAGGATTTGTCACTCCGAATGTCGGAGAGGTATCTCTGGGCCCTCTCGGTAATGCACATCACATAAGCCTTGCAAGCATTACAACTAATGAGTTAGTTGCGGGATGATGTATTACGGAACGAGTAAAGAGACTTGCCAGTAACGAGATTGAACTAGGTATTGGATACCGACGGTCGAATCTCGGGCAAGTAACATACCGATGACAAAGGGAACAACGTATGTTGTTATGCGGTCTGACCGATAAAGATCTTCGTAGAATATGTAGGAGCTAATATGGACATCCAGGTCCCGCTATTGGTTATTGACCGGAGATGTGTCTCGGTCATGTCTACATTGTTCTCGAACCATAGGGTCCGCACGCTTAACGTTACGATGACAGTTATTATGAGTTTATGCATTTTGATGTACCGAAGGTTGTTCGGAGTCCCGGATGTGATCACGGACATGACGAGGACTCTCGAAATGGTCGAGACATAAAGATTGATATATTGGAAGCCTATGTTTGGACATTGGAAGTGTTCCGGATGAAATCGGGATTTTATCGGAGTACCGGGAGGTTACCGGAACCCCCCGGGAACCATATGGGCCTTAGTGGGCCTTAGTGGAAAGGTGAAAGGGGCAGCCCAAGGTGGCTGCGCGCCTACCCCCTTCCCCTAGTCCTATTAGGACTAGGAGAGGTGGCCGGCCCCCCTTCTCTCTCCCCCCACTTGAGGATTCTTATTCCAACTAGGATTGGGGGGGAGTCCTACTCCCGGTAGGAGTAGGACTCCTCCTGGCGCGCCCCAAGGCTGGCCGCACCTCTCCCCCCTTGCTCCTTTATATACAGGGGCAGGGGGCACCTCTAGACACACAAGTTGATCCTTGAGATCGTTCCTTAGCCGTGTGCGGTGCCCCTGCCACCATATTCCACCTCGATCATATTGTAGCGGTGCTTAGGCGAAGCCCTGCGACAGTGGAACATCAAGATCGTCACCACTCCGTCGTGCTGACAGAACTCTTCCTCGACGCTTTGCTGGATCGGAGCCCGAGGATCGTCATCGAGCTGTACGTGTGCTAAGAACTCGGAGGTGCCGGAGTAACGGTGCTTGGATCGGTCGGATCGGGAAGACGTACGACTACTTCCTCTATGTTGTGTGATCGCTTCCGCAGTCGGTCTGCGTGGGTACGTAGACAACACTCTCCCCTCTCGTTGCTGTGCATCACCATGATCTTGCGTGTGCATAGGAATTTTTTTGAAATTACTACGTTCCCCAACAGTGGCATCCGAGCCTAGGTTTTATGGTTTGATGTTATATGCACGAGTAGAACACAAGTGAGTTGTGGGCGATATAAGTCATACTGCCTACCAGCATGTCATACTTTGGTTCGGCGGTATTGTTGGACGAGACGACCCGGACCAACCTTACGCGTACGCTTACGCGAGACCGGTTCCCCCGACGTGCTTCGCACACAGGTGGCTTGCGGGCGACTGTCTCTCCAACTGTAGTTGAACCAAGTGTGGCTACGCCCGGTCCTTGCGAAGGTTAAAACGGAGTCTATTTGACAAACTATCGTTGTGGTTTTGATGCGTAGGTGAGATTGGTACTTGCTTAAGCCCGTAGCAGCCACGTAAAACTTGCAACAACAAAGTAGAGGACGTCTAACTTGTTTTTCCAGGGCATGTTGTGATGTGATATGGTCAAGGCATGATGCTGAATTTTATTGTATGAGATGATCATGTTTTGTAACCAAGTTATCGGCAACTGGCAGGAGCCATATGGTTGTCGCTTTATTGTATGCAATGCAATCGCGATGTAATGCTTTACTTTATCACTAAGCGGTAGCGATAGTCGTGGAGGCATAAGATTGGCGAGACGACAACGATGCTACGATGGAGATCAAGGTGTCGCGCCGGTGACGATGGTGATCATGACGGTGCTTCGGAGATGGAGATCACAAGCACAAGATGATGATGGCCATATCATATCACTTATATTGATTGCATGTGATGTTTATCTTTTTATGCATCTTATTTTTGCTTTGATTGACGGTAGCATTATAAGATGATCTCTCACTAAATTATCAAGAAGTGTTCTCCCTGAGTATGCACCGTTGCCAAAGTTCGTCGTGCCCAGACACCACGTGATGATCGGGTGTGATAAGCTCTACGTCCATCTACAATGGGTGCAAGCTAGTTTTGCACACGCAGAATACTCAGGTTAAACTTGACGAGCCTAGCATATGCAGATATGGCCTCGGAACACGGAGACCGAAAGGTCGAGCGTGAATCATATAGTAGATATGATCAACATAACGATGTTCACCATTGAAAACTACTCCATCTCACGTGATGATCGGTTATGGTTTAGTTGATTTGGATCACGTGATCACTTAGAGGATTAGAGGGATATCTATCTAAGTGGGAGTTCTTAAGTAATATGATTAATTGAACTTAAATTTGTCATGAACTTAGTCCTGGTAGTATTTTGCAAATCATGTTGTAGATCAATAGCTCGCGTTGTTGCTTCCCTGTGTTTATTTTGATATGTTCCTAGAGAAAATTGTGTTGAAAGATGTTAGTAGCAATGATGCGGATTGGATCCGTGATCTGAGGTTTATCCTCATTGCTACACAGAAGAATTATGTCCTTGATGCACCGCTAGGTGACAGACCTATTGCAGGAGCAGATGCAGACGTTATGAACGTTTGGCTAGCTCAATATGATGACTACTTGAT